TGAAGCAAGGGTGATTGTTGGTTCAGTTGTAGACTGTGCATCTGATGATGTAAAAATGAGTTTAACAAAGAGCTTAAATGAAGAAATTAACAAAACAGGAAAAAATACAAAATGTATATGAAATGTTACCTAAAATAATTTTTTGTAAGGGTTTCACATTAAACTGTTTTAGCATAAGTTACATGCATTGGTAAACACTGTAAACAGGATGTACATACTTTTAAATTTAAGTTGCAATCAAACGATACAACTTAAAATCAGGAACTTAATTGCCTTTAACCTTTAATAAACAGTCCAATTTCAGTGAAAGAATTAATAAATCATGTGCTAACCAGAAAAAATATATATATTTTGCAAAAAAGAGAACTTAATTATGAGTATTGCAAAGCAAAAGTTTTGAGAATGTTAAAAATCTAGTGATGCACCGAAATGAAAATTCTGGCCATAACCAAAAATTCTGGATGCATTTGGTGAAAAACAAAACTGAAAAATTATTTGTAATAATTATTTGTTTATTTAATATTTTTTTATTGTTTAATGAATACACTGAAATTCCTCCGGATTTCTTAAACCTTTTAATTATGTTATGCACTTTTGAAAGTGAAGTCTCCAAATGTCTTCCTATCATTTTTTGAGGAACATTGTTTTTCAACTTTGCTTTATTTCAGCTAGAATAAAAGCAGCTTTCAATTTTTTATGAACCATTTTAAGGTCAATATTATTAGCCCCTTTAAGCTATATATTTTTCGATAGTTTACAGAACAAACCATCATCATACATTAACTTGCCTAATTACCCTAACCTGCCTAGTTACCCTAATTAACCTAGTTAAGCCTTTAAATTCACTTTAAGCTGTATAGAAGTGTCTTGAAGAATATCTAGTCAAATATTATTTACTGTCATCATGACAAAGAGAAAATAAATCAGTTATTAGAGATGAGTTATTAAAACCTTATATGTTTACAAATGTGTTTAAAAAGTCTCTCTGTTAAACAGAAATTGGGGAAAAAATAAACTGGGGGGCTAATAATTCGGACTTCAACTGTGTATATATAGCGCTTTTCTGGATATGCAATCATGAATTGTCTTCCATTCTCATCATATATACTCAAATAATTATAGACGTCTTACCTGTTATCGTTGATCTGCTGATCAGTAAAGCCAATCCAACATATAAAATCAATCGAAGCATCCTCCAGGAGTATTGCTTCTAAGCGTAATGCAAGAAAAATTACCCTTGGGAAGCAACCGAACATGAGTATTACTCTCTCACTTAGTAATGAAACATTCTCTTATGCTTAGATTTGACAGCTGACAGATCCTTAAACCCCACCCACCATATTTTATACTAACATAACAGGTTCTCGGAATTTCTATAGAATTTGTTGAGATTTTTGCAGTAAAAACTACAATTATAGTTTAAGTTTGAAAAAGAAAATGCAAGCACTAAAATAGATTTATCCAGCAACTTAAATTATAAGTTTTGAGTTTATTATTAAAGCCATTAGCAGTAGCATATTATTAAGTAGCCATTATCACTATTTTAGGTATAAACAGTTTCACTTTCAGACTGCATTGTTGTGTCAATATACAATGCCACAGTTCCTGCTAATTACAGTAGCTATAACCAACCACACCTGTACGATAAGGATCAAAAGTGTCAACATTGATATTAGGAGATTTAGATTTTAAGATTTAGTTAAAACAATTAGTTAAAATTAAGTTTCCTAACATGTTTATATTCACAATACCAATATTTCAACTTCAGAAGAGATAAGAAATCAATATTAGTGCACTGTAGCTGTGATTTTAAGACAAACGATTACATATATCATCGTGTTTTTGAGTGATTTAATCGTTTTTTTATTCGTTTGCAGGTGAAATAATCAGAATAACTTGCATAATATCTTCTCTTTATAGTTGCAGCCCACATTTTTCCTTTGGCATTTCTTGTCAGTTGGGTTTGGAAATCCATGCACACTAGTTTGTCTACTTTTGCACGTAGAAGTTTCAAGCTTGTACTCTGTTTCATCATTACTATGCTTAATTTACTCCTCTTTGTTTTGTGAGCAACACTATAGGTGTTGTGAATGTATTTCCAAGAAGTGCTACTGAACACCAATCAGGTAAAATAGTGCTTTTACATCCTGAGAATTTTACAATGAGAATTTTCAATTGTTTTCGCCACACACACAATATTGCACGGTTGATGGAAATGCATTGGAATCAATTGTTCAATAAGCAGCATTATTCAGCTGTAACGTTATCATGATCTGAGGAGAAACCTCTCCTGCATTTCATGCTTTTGTGTAAATAATAAACATGAATGTGTGTTTTGTGTTTCTGCTGATACAATTGAAGGCCTCTTGCTTGGATGATCTCCACATTCCAGTAAACCTGAATAATGACAATGTGTTAAAGTGTGTCAGCAGTGTCATGCTATATGCGGAACGAGTAATATTGTTATGAGGAAATAAAATTTGCACCCAAACTTGATGCAACAGCATGACCTGTGATAAACATTATGGCCACAATAATTGTTTTCTCATTCTTTCACAACATTGAAATGCAATGAGAGACATTAAATTCTTTTCAAAAGGAGCTGCTGCCTTAAAAATGTTGTCTAAACTAACACCAAAAAAAGTGAATTTATAGGATTAGTTAGTAGAAAAAGGTGCAGAAATATAACATAAACATTGTTAAAACAGTCCAAATGAAGCTTGATTTGCGCACCAAAAAAACAAACTGTAAAATGACTACAAAATGCTGTGCCTGAGTGTGAAATCATAGAAGTTTTAGCCACTAGAGGGAGTGTATTCACAACAAACAAAGGCGTAGTTTGAAGAGTGCATGACTGAGTGTGAAATCATAGAAGTTTTAGCCACTAGAGGGAGTGTATTTGCAACAAACAAAGGTGTAGTTTGATGAGGGCCTGACTGAGTGGGGAATCATTAGAGTTCTGGCCACTAGAGGGAGTGTATTCACAACCAAAATAAGGCGTAGTCTGATGAATCTGTGACTAAATTCGGAACCATTAGGGTTTTGGCCACTAGAGGGAGTGTATTCACAACCAACAAAGGTGTAATTTGATGAATCTGTGACTACTGATTTTTACTTCTGAGTCAAACGCTGGCGTATGCTACGGCGCTGATGCATAGCCTTTCGTCGTGGCTGTCGGCGTCGCTGATGTGCACCTCTCAAAAAATGTAACTACATGTCGCAACAACGCGTAGCGCAAGCTCTGTGATTGGTCAGCTTGGTAGTGCTGACGAGTCTGGGCGGGACCTGGGCGGGACCGCGCCAGTGTGGAGTCCCATGAAGGAGCTCCGGATGGAAAGTTTTGTTCTGTGTTTACCTCATAGTTAAAGTTGTTGCACGTCCGCTGGATCCTGCCTCAAAATGAGCGAGTTTGAGCCACTTATACATCCAGGAAGTGTTCACGAAAAGCAAAACAGCAGCGAAGAAACTCGACACAGAGGAACATTTACACCTCACTGCCAACTAGAGTTTCGAAAGTGTTAATGCAGACCGACAGAGACAGCTCGCAGAAGTATAAACGCACAGCTACGGGCGTTGCATGCGCCGTGGGTTACGCCGGTCACTTGACGCAGAAGTATAAACCAGGCTTAAATGTGAAATCATTAGAATTCTGACTATTAGAGGGAGTGTATTCACAACCAACAAAGGTGTAGTTTGATGAGTCTTGACTAAATGTGGAATCGTTAGGGTTCTGGCCACTAGAGGGAGTGTATTCACAACCGACAAAGGCCTAGTTTGATGAGTGCATGACTGAGTGTCGAATTATGGGAGTTTTGCCTTTATGTTTTCACAACCAACAAACATGTATATTGATGACTCGGTGACTAAATGTGGAATCATGGGAGTTTCAGCAACTGGAGGGCTTAAATTCACAACAAACAAAGATGTAGTTTAAAGAGTGCGTGACTGAGTTTGGAATCATGTACTTCTGGCCATTAGAGGGAGTGTATTCACAACAAACAAAGGTGAAGTTTGATAAATTTGACTGAATGTGTAATCATGGGAGTTTTTGGCCACTAGAGGGAGTGTATTCACAACCAACAAACGTGTAGTTTGATAACTCTGTAACTGAGTGTGGAATCATGGGAGTTTTGGTCTTCATCAACTCATCAATTTCATCAACTCTTCTCCTGATGATGAGCATCATTTCGGTTTTCACTGAATTTCTACAAAGTATGTTGTAGACTGTAAACTCTCAGACTACTCTGCTCTCATCCATGTTTATTTTCCTCATTTAAAATATTATACAAATTATTAATTAAGTTATTGATATTTTAGCAGTTAGTAGTTTTGAGAAAATATAAACAGATGTTTTAATATAATCCCAACATATACTGTATTTTATAATAAAAGTGATTTGATTTGAGGAACTCCAGCATTATGGGATCAGAAAAATATCAATAATAATAAAAGTTTTATTGTCACTTCACCAGCAGGATGTTTGTTAAGATGCGGGTAAAGCAATGCAAATAAACAGTGACATAAGACCATATACAGCAGGGGTGGCCAACCCTGTTCCTGGAGAGCCAGCTTCCTGCAGATTTCAGTTGCTACCCATATTAAACACACCTGAACCAATTAATTAGGACCTGAACACCTCGTGATAATTACAGGCAGGTGTGTTTGACATGGGTTGCAACTGAAATCTGCAGGAAGCTGGCTCTCCAGGAACAGGGTTGGCCACCCCTGATATACAGAATACAAATATACATAATACCGTGTAAACAAGCATTGCAACCAGCAAAATTAGCATCAAAACCTACTTTACCAGCATATGCTGTTTTTTAAGCGGTTAAGATAGCATATTTTAATGACATATTTATAGATATATAGTATGAAATTCTTATTGCTATTTTTTTACCCGACTGTGACTTTTATTTTGGAAAACCTGCTAGTTTTTAGTCGGTGACTTTAATTTTGAAAACAAGACAACAACAAGCCGTTTCACGCTAACCGCCGCCTCTCGTGCTTTCTTGTTTGTCTTGTGCTCTTGTCGAGTTTAAACAAACTGAATTCAGACTATCACATTTAATACATTGCTGAAGAATAAAACTAATATAATGTTTTAGTAATTTCCGAAGTGGTTAAACGCTTTTTTTCCGGTTAGCTTCCGGTTTCCACGTCTCCCATTTGGCTTTAGCACGTTTACGTTTGCAGCTATTTCTGCAAGAATTCAGACACTTTTATAACTTCTTTAGCGTTTGAGAGAATAAACAAACGATCAACATATCTCCTATTACTTATCTACTGATTACTATTACTTATTCAGTCAGTTCTGAGTCTTTACTCGACGTCTGTGGTGGTATTGCAGCACACAGGGGTGTAAATATGTGTGTTTGCAGACACTGAAGATGGACAGAGATTTACTCCGACAGTCTGTGTCGTTTCACGGGGAAAACCTGCTGTCGCTGTTGAAATGTGAACAGAATGAAAACCCAGACTTTAAACATTTGGCCTCTGATCTCTACAAAAGCCTTAACCAAAGGTAAGAGGAGTTCACAACTGCTGCACGTGGCTATTTTTTATCCCTCATGCCTGCGCTGTGTTGACAAAACTCAAGACTCCTGAAATAACCCATAAAGCACAACTGAAGTCAAGAAAAACATATCGCATGACTTCATTGATTCGTAGTATTTCTGTGTAATGTAATTCTGTATATTCTAGATAAATAATATAAATATTTACACTTTAGAGTCTATATATAATATTATATAATAAGTGTGTGTGTGTGTTTGTTTGAGAATGACCCAGTACCCCAAGACCTACTGTAAGTGTCAATTTGTTTGGATATTAGATTTCTATATTATCTAAAAGCTAAAATAAGCCACATAAAATAGAGGTAACGTTGGTTTTATATTTGCACATTCAGACTTTCCCCTTAATAACATTATTTCATAAAAGTAATATTTCCAAACTCCAAATAGCAAAATCATGTTAGCAGCCAATGACTATCAAAGTATAACATTGTTCACAATCAAATAAACAGTATTAATGTTGTTTTCAAGTCATGCTTGCATGCTAATTCCGATCGAATATTCAAAGTAACATGGTAAACAATATAGAGACTTATAAATGAACGAATGTGTGAATATAAAACCAACTTTACTTCTATCCACATAAATAAGTTTTGTTTGCTTTTTTCGTGATAAAACTATAGCAAATCTGTAATCTGATCCTGAAAAAAATTTACATTTTAGTCATCCAAATTAAGAACTTGTCAATGCATGGTGATAAATACAAATGTAAATATCTTGACGGAAGATGTTCACCCCTCACAGATCTCTCTTTTAAATGAACATTTTCCAAAAAAAAAAATGCTTTTACAATAATATATTTGTTCATATACGTTGGATTAGTCAGTACCAAAGCTAAAACTGTATTTAAACTAACAAAATAACTTAAAATCACAGATGAGTACTCTTAAATATTGGGGGAGAATATTAAATAGAAATTAAATAATAGGAAAAATCTAAATGTATAGTTTGTATGTGTGTATAAAGAAATTTAATTAAATGTTCTTTGTTTTTAATCAGGGATAAAGATGAGCAAAGTCCCGTTCTGGAGCAGTTTATAGCAAGGAAAGCCGATCTTCTGTTCGCGCCGTCATGGAAAATCTCAGAACCAGCAGACGAATGGCAGGAAGAGTCAGGAGGTTCTCAATTATTCATAATCAGATTTCTGCTGTATTCGTTCTTAAACATCTTGAAAAATGAGTTTGCTGTGTTTTAGGAAAGTAGTCAAACATGTGTATAAAAGAATCCATTAATTAACCGTTTGCCATAGTTTGTGATTCATGTTTTTTTATTGAGTTCATCTCTGTGCCACCGACTTTTAATATTGAACACCATCAACTTTTTAATGTTGAAATTAAAGCTGTCACTTACTAGTGAGCATCTCTCTCTCTTTAGCGTGAACAGCCCTGAGAGAGAAGCAGCCGTCTGCCATTAGAGTGTTTGATCTACCTAAGATAATGTCACCAATTAAGAGGATAATAAATGTGGAACTTTAGATGAAGCACAAATGAACAGCGACAGGAGTCATCATAGACACCAGCATTTGACCCTTTTCACACATATAACATTCATTCATTTTCTTTTCGGCTTAGTTTCTTTATTAATCCGGGGTCGCCACAGTAGAATGAACCACCAACATATCTAGCATATGTTTTACACAGTGGATGCCTTTCCAGCTGCAACCCATCACTGTGAAACATCCACACTCGGTCAATTTTAGCATACTCAATTCACCTGTACCACATATCTCTGCACTGTGGGGGAAACCCACACGAACATGGGGAGAACATGCAAACTCCACACAGAAATGCCAACTGACCCAGCCCAGGCTCGAACCAGCGACCTTTTAGCTGTGTGGTGAACGTGCTACTCACTGTGCCACTACACAGATAACAGTAGTCTTGTATTTGAATCTGCCACTATGCTGAAACAAAGGCATTTGTAGCTCCGCCCTCTTTTAAAAAGAGCCCAATCTCATTTGCATTTAAAGCGACAGTCACCAAAACGCCACAATTAGGATCAAAGCCTAAAAGGGTCAGTTTTAGAAAGTTATGAAACGTTATTTGCGTGGTATTTTGAGCTGAAACTTCATATACACACTCTCTAGGGGCATGTTTACGTCTTATTAAAAGGGGCATAATAGATCCCCTTTAATTCTGCATTGGCGTGAATCATGCATAAAAGACTTTTGGCGCTGCCAGTTGGTCCGGGATGCCCTTAACCTGTTTCACTGTGCGTTTTCTTGTATGGACAGAGATGTTTTTTATTTATTTTTATTTTTAAAAAGTCATTGATAATAATACCTGTGTATGAGTGGACTTATAGAGTATAAAGGATGAGCAAAGGATTCATACGGTCCTAGAAAGCCTGGAAAATGCCTTGTCAAAACTCCAGCACTTTTCCAGATTTTCTAGGACCGTATGAACCCTGTGCTCGTCATTTACTCTCTTGGAAATAACGTCATCATTCAGCGTTCACCATGTGCATGTAGACGTATAACATGACTGAATATTTACCTGAAAGTAATGGGATTTTAGTAGTAAAAATGTGTCTGAAATATTGTGCTGCTGTTTCAGAGGCGTTTGCCGTCATGCCTCCGCTGGAGCAGTTCATGGAGGTGTCGTTCGAGGAGAGACGCGAGCTCTTCTACCGAGATGTGGAGCGCGGAGACATGGTCATCGGCAGAATCAATTCAGTGCGAGACTTCGGCTTATTCGTGACGCTGCTCTGCACCGCTGGTGGACTGAAGAGAGACATTGAGGATCTTGAGATCAAGGTGTGCTTGCATAGTTTGTCTCTTTATTGTTGTACCTATTTATTAGACATTCTGACTATATGATGATCTCACAATATTGTGATTTCCACTCTAAGATATGCTCTTTTTAAATGTCTGGGTAAAAACACAACTACCCCCCCCCCCATTTAACACAATATATTTTATTTTAAAGGGCACATAGGTTACCCCTATTTTCATATTTATTATAAGTCTTTTGTGTCTAGTATTTGTACACCTCTAACGCACCATTCACACGGGGCGTCAGCGTCAACGCTTCCCATTCACTTTGAATGGGTGATGTCAGGCGTTGCCGAACTGCATTGTGGTTCCGCCGGTGCCGCTTCAGAGGCGTTGCTCGCTGCAGAAGTTGGGACTAGCTCAACTTTTCAAGCGCCAATGCAAGCATCAACCAATCAGATCGCTGTATGCAAATACATTAACTAGACAGTGGCCTATTGCTGACTGAATTTCATTGGTTGATGCTGCTATGACGATCGCTTCAGCCCTAACTTCAGACACGCCTTCAGTCAAGCGTTGATGCTGAAGCCCCGTGATAATGGGGCGTAATAGCAGCACACACACACACCACTCACATTAGTTTTTGTGAATTGTGGGGACGTTCCATTGGTAAAAAGAAGCTGCACACTGACACTTTAGCAAGCCGACAAAGCCACCAAAACAGCCCTAGCAGGAAAGCTGAAGAACTGTAAAATCCCACCTTCAAATCTAAAGCCACTAATAAAAGGCTATATTCTTAACAAATGGCAAACACAATGGGATCAGTGCCCAGAAAACAAACTTTTTGAAATTCAGCCTGAAATAGGAAAAAAATCTCATTTATTTTTTAAGTCAAGACACGATGAGATTGTTTATAGAAGATGAACCACCAAACCACCAAAATGTCTTTATTGCAGCAAAAACCAAACTGTTAAACATATCGTTGAGGAATGCCCCATTTTTAATGTTATCACACAACAATATTTATCTAGAGAGACTTTATAGGAAATATTTTTAAATGTGAATTCATCTAAAATTGTACAGTTTTTATCAAAAGGAAACCTTAAAAAACTGTTTTAGATTTTTATCTTATATATTTTCATTATTGCTATTTATGTATTTTACCTTGGACATTATTTATTGCTGTTGATGACTTTTAATTGTTAGAATATTTTTATAATTATAGAAAATTGGTATTTATAAAACGTGATAAACTTGATCTATTTTCTTTTTGCCATGACATAGCCATAGAAGCTGAAATGGCAATAAAATTAAAACTCTCTCTCTCTCTCTGACACTTTAGCTCTCAAAAGTCAATTCAATTGGACAACGTTAGACCTTCAAGGTCTACTTCATCAGGTCACATCCCATATATGTTTCCATTGGTTTTTTATGCTGTACAAAAACTGTATTTTCTAACGCACCCTACACCAACCCTCCCCGTCACAGTGTATTTCCACTACAGCACAAAGTCTATCCTTAGTGCTGCTAGTTGGGATAAAAACACGTTATTAAATGTTGTATTTCTTTAATGTTCAGCATCTGAAAGCACATTCATTCAATCATTTTCTTGTCGGCTTAGTCCTTTTATTAATCCGGGGTCGCCACAGTGGAATGAACCACCAACTTATCCAGCAAGTTTTTATGCAGCGGATGCCCTTCCAGCCACAACCCATCTCTGGGAAACATCCGCACACACACACTTATACACTCATACACTACGGACAGTTTAGCCTACCCAATTCACCTGTACCACATGTCTTTGAACTGGGGGGGAAACTCCACACAGAAACACCAACTGAGCTGAGGTTCGAACCTGCGACCCAGCAACCTTCTTGCTGTGAGGCGACAGCACTACTTACTGTGCCCCTGCATCGCCCTGAAAGCACATGCATGACTAAAAACATAACTAGTTAAGACAAAATATGCTTTATTTAAGTTCTTCCTCTTTTAATTTAGCTGATAATAAACTATTTAATGCAGTTTATCACTGCTAAGAATGTGTTGTGTGTCTCATTCTGTGAATCATTATTTCCAACACTCGACTGAAGTCAGTTTGGAGTAAAAACAAGTCTTAAAATGAGTGATTTTCACATTCAGCATCTAAAAGCATATGCTGTTGATGTAGTATTGATTGCAGAACTGGCTTTACTGGTAAAACATCCATGAAAATGACCTTTTATTAATCCCTTTTCATTAATCAAAGCAGCGGCAATTAAAAAAACAACTTTAAGTTTCACATTAAAGTGTCTCTCGGGTGTTCGTTCTTGATTTTAAAATGATTTAGAAGTCTATTTACAGAAAAATAGTAATAGTTTCTGGTGTAAACATTTCTATATTCATAAGGAAATGATTGATTTAAGGGTTTTTCTGGGAAGTTACAATATTGATGTAAATAATGTCAATATTATCAGTCAGAGTGTGCAGTATACACAAGTTTTTCCACTATTATTTATACAATTCTAAATGAGTAGCTTTCTAAACTGCATTGTGGCTGTTTTGTTGAATTGAAAGTGTTTTAATAATGAATATTCTCTTTTCGAAGGCCCTCTGTCCAAAAAGAGAAGTGCCTTCAACCGGAAACCACGATGATCCTTTGTCGTATTACCAGATCGGGGATTTAATCAGAGGTGTGTTTTTTATATTTATTTTCTCGTTCTCAAAAACTTGTATTTGAGCGTTTAATATGTAAAAACATGCTCATATGTTCTGTCATGTTCTTTGATTGTGTGCTCACCTTCAATGTTTAAGCGATATTTAAAACTGTTCAACTTAATACAGTTTTTAGCAAAGAAAAATAGTAGCGTAATGCCTCTAATTTTATAATCAGACTTGATATAAACAGTCTGCAGAAACACTTTGATTGACATTCTCCCTTTGTATGATGTCATCAGAGGACGAAAGCCCCGCCCACTAGTGACCATCTCTCCCTCATTAGCATACAGCTATGCTAACACTCTTTCCTCTAAAAAAAAAAAAAAGCACAATCTCACTTGCATTTAAAGCGACAGCCATCAGAACACCACAATTAGGATCAGACCCTAAAGGGGTCAATTTTAGAGAGTTAGAACATTATCTGTGTGACATTTTGAGCTATAATTTCACACGCACACACACATGCACTCACTCTAGGGAAATCAGAGACTTTTTTACATCTCATAAAATGAGGCATAATAGGTCACTTTAATAAAATCTAATCGCAGTATACGATTTCAAATGACTCTTTATTATAAATTTTTACACTTTAAACACATTTTAATTTAGTTTAATATTAATTTGAGGGTTTTCAAGGTTTGAAAAGTGCTGAGATTTTGGATAAATTGCTTGTTGTTAAAATGCAGCTGTGTCGCTTCTATATTAATTTATGTTACCAAATAGTTTCCCATTTAAACACAATGTTAAACGTGATTCGTTTTTGCTTTTGCATGAAATTAAAGTGTAATTTAACATTTTGAAATAGTAATAATAATAATAGTAATATTTTCTATATTCAGTATTTCGAATAATGTAAAAATAAATAAAGGCTCAATTAAAATGAAAGATGACATTTAAGTAAATGAGGCAATTATTTCCCCTAGAATACTACTCTGTAAAAAAAAAAAAGTTGATTCAACTTAAAATTGTAAGACAACTTGCTGCACGGCTTTTGAGTTGACTCAACTTTTAAGCCAAATATTGTATTTGACTCGGTTTGAGTCGACCTAAAAAGCTCTGCAGCAAGTTGCCATTGCTGTGGCGTCATTTTAAAAGTGGGCGGGACAGCTGTATGAAATCCAAAAATTTGCATTCCTATTCACCTGTTTCTAAATAGTCATACTCTAAAAGTGAGGCAGATGCAACCCCTCATCCCACCCGGTGGCTACGCCTCTGTGTCCAGGTATATTTTCTGGAGGAGTTGATCTGGTGCACCTCTGAAAGCATCTAGTGGACTCAGACACGGCGCCGAACAAATATACGCTGTTTTTCAGCCTTTCTAAAGCACATAAAGCACAGCTATCCTCTCAATAAAATCCATGTTAGCCATTTAGCATTGAAACTAGTGTCGCCAGACAGACAGAAGCCCCGCCCATCATGCAAATCCGTGTCTTCTGTGAATTTAATGCGGTAATGAAGCGAGTAAACTCAAAATGTTGACTCGTCTATTTACGCATGATTATCGATATTTATTCGCGCATGCCGTGTCTGGTGTGAACAGCATAGCAATTGCTTTGCATAATCAGCACTTGCCTCTTCTCGTTGAATCGCTGAATGCCTGCTCAATTGTAAGTCACTTTGGACTAGTGATATCACAACACTGGAATTTCTGAACCAATTTGATACTGAATTATAAAACGTCTATTTCCCGCTAACATTTGAGCGCTGTTGAGCACGTACTTAAACACCGCTGAAACAAATGACTTGAGAAATGACTCGCAAAGGTCATCAGTATACCGCTGTTCACTGAGTGCAAACACAGATACATGGACTCTGGGGCATCAGCAGATCGCTCATATGTCAGGTCACAGACAGAGCAGCTGATAGACGTGGCTTTAATATGCTTCTTGTATCTGTGCTTGCGCTCTGAACAGTATCCTATGAGATGGCCCTATGAGATTCAGATATGATTGGTTAAAGTGTTGGTTTTGTGTTCCAGCTGGAGTGAAAGACATCGACCGCTACCATGAGAAGTTAACCTTGTCTCTGCACTCGTCCTCTGTGTCTCCGCACATGGAGAAAGTCAAGCTGGGCGTGCTGAACAAAGAAGATCTGCCTCTTCACTACACGTACGTCCAGCGCTCTACACTGTGTCCGTATTTTCTGTTCATTTACGTTGTGAATTGCATTATAAGATGTCGACTTTTAATGTTGAATATTTAACTCTTCCGTTTAACAAAGTGTCTTTCATTGTCATTTTTGTAGTATTAGTTAATAATATCTAGAGAAATACGCTTGTAAAATAACAGAAAATCTGCTGCAGTATATTACAAGGTTTTTGTAGCGTATCATACAACACTAACCCAGACAATATAGCACTGGAAACTATTAACAGTGTTCATTAAAGTCACTTTTTACACCATTACCAGTTGTTGGAAGTAAGATCAAGCTCTCATAATGCAATTCAAAAGCATAAAAAAAGCGAAAACTGCAGATTTAAGGATGTTTTGCTGTGTATATGTAACCCCGCGGGTCTTACACCAGCCAACCTGCTCCGAGCTGGTATCGAACCAGCGACCTTCCGCATGGGAATCGGTTACTCTATCAAGCAGGCTAAAGACCATGGCCTCTAGCATCTGTCGCTAGAGCACCTTTAGAGTTCAGAGGAGAGAGGTTTACCTGCATAGCACTTACTGGCTAGCCTCCGTTACACTCACCCCCCTAAACCTCACTCCCATCCGGGTCACGGCACCAATGTAACCCCGCCGGTCCTACACCACCCAACCCGCTCCGAGCTGGTATCGAACCGGCGACCTTCCGCATGGGAGTCGGTTGCTCTATCAAGAAGGCTAAAGACCGTGGCCTCTAGAATCTGTCGCTAGAGCACCTTTAGAGGTCAGAGGAGTGAGGTTTACCTGCACAGCACCTACTGGCTAGCCTCTGTTACACTTACCCCCCTAAACCTCACTCCCATCCGGGTCACGGCACCAATGTAACCCCGCCGGTCCTACACCACCCAACCCACTCCGAGCTGGTATCGAACTGGCGACCTAACCCTAGCTCCATTACATATATTTGCTTTCTATTGCTTTTAAATGATGTATGCTGCTTCTTATACCTTCATATATATGGGGTGAAATGGTTGACACATTCGTCACTTGGATGTTTGTGCTTTCTCATCTTCAGTCGAGGTGAAATCGTTTCCTCTGACAGCAACGAGACCTTCGAGAAGCTCCTGGACGATTCACTGGGTTTGTCGAACCCGTTAAACGTGGATTTCCTTCTGGGCAAACTGGGAATCAGTGACACACAGACTCCTTCACTCATGAGGGGTTTGCAGAGGTGTGTGTTTGGCCTTTATAGATGCTTTTATTTCAGTTAAGCTGGTTTATATATGGTTGAAGTTGGAATTATTAGCTCTCCTGAATATAGAGAGGATTTTCTCAACACATTTCTAAACGTAATAGTTTTAATAACTCATTTCTAATATGTCTGTTCACAGTAAGCGCTTTAAAGAGGAGGATTTTGCTACGACTATCAGAAAGAAGCAGTCTGTTTCCTGGGCCTTAAAATGGTTTGTTTTTAATCTGCTTTTCTACATGATTTTCAATTAGATCATTATTTTATCGATTGACTGGATTTTTTTGCTTACATTTTTACTTTACATTTTGTCATAAAGTAACTTTTAGACATAGTTTTATGAGACAGAATGAATCCTATAGAAGCAAAAAAAAAATCCAAAACAAAGTTTTTATAACCTTGCTTCTCTAATGTGAGACGTTGCTCTACTTTGTGTCTTTAAAGACTTGTTTTTAGTGGTCGACGGGTTATTAAAACTTGGTTTTGGATTTATTTAGCTTGTCTGCTTTACATTTTGTCACATAGTGAGACACTGCTTTAATTATTTATATTTGTCAGAAATGACAAGAAGGCAAGTTTTTATGATCTTCGTTCTCTAATATGTAAGGGTATCATGATCCTCCAAATCCTCGATTCGATTACATTTTCAATTCTAAAGGCTTGATTCGATTTTCGATTATGAATAATTAATTAATTAATGACCAATTAATTATTAGTAGCCTACCGTTTAAACTACCTGACCTGCAAGGTCTTTGTTTTACCCATAAACAAATCATACAGTAAATGAATAAAGGCAAGATACACACATAATTACCATCTGTCAATCACTTTTTTCTGTGGGACTCGTGAATAGGCAGTGATCTGTGTCGTTATAATGGCGTCGGTAAAAAAGACACACAACCAACAGGAACCAGCCAACAGTATCTGAGGTGTTCGCTAAAATGACTAAGTACAAGTGAGTGAAAGATTGAAGCAGTCCTCTGACTGCCTGGACCTGCTGTCTCGAGCGCATGGCTGTGTGTGCGTCTGTGTCTGTGTGGTCACGTGATGTGCATTTTCAGAGGTAGAGAGGAAGGAGGGCTGCTCAGAAATGCTACACGCCACTGTGGATGTCAAATCGTTGTCGTTCTAAAATGCCATTTAAAAACAAAGACAGTGTAAACAGGGCCTGAGTGTGTACTTTTCGCGAGCGGATTTGCAACGGGGGCGGACGGAGGATTGCGATGCCGGTGTTGTCTATTGGGTAATACGTACATAGCAGAGCTTGCAAAACTGTGTTTTTTTTTGTCGACAACACGAACGTTGTCAACATAACTCACTGGAAGTCCAAAATGCTTCCACAGCGGTGACTTCATTGAAAGAGGAGAGGGTTTAAGCTCTGTCGACGGGTCTCCTGCTTCTGCAGTTCAACAAGCACTTCAACAAGCCTGTTTTTTCCCCGCTTGGCAAGCCAAGCTGACGTGACATGGGGGCGTGGCAGCATCGACAATTTTATTTTTTGATTCGATAATCAAAATTGAGCATAAATTTCGATCGATTTCGATTAAAAATCGAAATCGTGACACCCCTACTAATATGAGACGCTGTGCCATTTTTTTGTCCTTAAATTTTTATTTTTTTTGTGGTCGACAGGTTATAATATCTTGGTTTGTGATTTTTTTTAGCTTACATTTTTACTTTACATTTTGTTACTACACATAGTCAATTTTAGACATTGATTTATGTGACAAAATGAAACCTAGACAAGCTAAAGAATCTAGAAAGAAGTTTTTATAACCTTGCTTCTCTAATGTGAGACGTTGCTCTACTTTTGTGTCTTTAAAGACTTGTTTTTAGTGGTCGACGGGTTATTAAAACTTGGTTCTGGATTTTTTTAGCTTGTCTGCTTTATATATTGTCACATAATGACGTTTAGATACTGCTTTAATTATTTTTATTCCACAGAAATGACAAGAAGGCAATGGAAACTGTTTTGATTGTCCAAAATTGGCATTGCTTTGAGTCTCTGATTGCTTTAAAGTCCACATGAACCCGCATTTGTTCTGCATTGTGACGCAGTTCCTAGAGAAATGGAATATTAAATGAGGAAACAGCAGTGGGCGTGGCTTGTTTTTTTCTGTTGTGAGCTGATTGGGTGGAGTAAAGTAGGCGTTTCATTCAGAAAGATGGAGAAAAGGCTTTGTGGAGAGTTATTACAACCTAACAGACTCCTCCAGCTCCCCATTTCTGTTTGTTCACTAAACTGACTGCTGGAGGGGCGTGCTTAAGTGTGTTAGCCCCGCTCAGTAGACTGTAGGAACTATGACGTCAATTTGTATGCAAAAACTCGGAAGCGAGTTAGCATTTTAGCAGCTCCAGTTCCCTCATGCCAAAGTCAACAGGTTTTTTTCCATGGGATTTCAATGAAATCGCTTAAATAATGCAAGATGCATTCACGTTTTTTTCTACGACATAAAACACATCAGTTACAGCACACTCTTGATTTATTAAATCGGTTGCGCTTCTTTTAAACGACGGTAGCTATCAAGTTGCTAAATGGGACTGCAGGCGGTGTCGGGGACATTATACGTCATCAAGCTGAGCTGGTCTGGAGCTCAGCCCGCTTGTGTTGGGCATTTGGATTTGTCTGTGATTTAAGCATTTTCATGAATAGTAGAGTTTGTAGTGTTTTTTTAATTGGGATTTCATATTGTGTGTAGATAATGCCTTCACATGTGACATTTAGTTGTTGATCATTTATTTTAATTAAACGATATAATGAAGAGACAATAACTTACCAGTGCAGCCTGTCTCTCTCCTGCTCTCAGCAATGCAAACGTGTGAATAAATGTGTAAAAATACTCACATATTAACTGTCTTTTTAACGTGATTGAGTGATTTTTCGGCGGTTTTTCAGCATCTAAACACATTTAACTCTGTCATTACTGCAATATTTACACTCCTCTTTAAAATGTATAGCAGATGTGACTGTATGGGCTGCAATTAAACTGAATTTAACTGAAAACAGACAAGAAGTGCATTTTCAGATCTCGATTGAAGATTACAAGGACAAACTTTTTCTTAATGATATGCACAGATGAATTGTTCACAAAACTAGCTATGTGAGCTAACAAAGTCAACATGGTTAGTTTTAATTTCATGTGTACTTTAAATAACCTTAACCTGTATAATCCTGTATAGAACCTGTGTTTTACTTAATAATTGCTGAAATATAAAAGTGTTTGACAGTATGATTTCTTCATGATTTCAGTGTTAAAACCGGCGTGGGTCATTTTAAGTCTGGCCGTCATGTAGATGCGATGAACGAGTACAACAAGGCTTTGGAGATCGACACCAACAACGTGGAGGCTCTGGTGGCCCGCGGAGCTCTGTGAGTCTCCACAAACCCACCATCATATTCACACACATTCTATTCCAAATATTTCCCAAACGATGTTGAACAGATTCAGAAATTTTTCACAGTATTTCCTCTAATATTTTTCTTATTTGTTTTATTTTGGCTAGAATAAAAGCAGCTTTTAGTAAAGTGGTTTCGTTTGAAAGTATAGAATCTATATTTTATGCACATATGAAACTCAAATTTGAAAGTGTACCTTTTAGGTTGTGTGTGGTCTAGCGTGCTGTAATTAATGTTGGTGGTTCCTGCACATGTCTGTAATCATAGGACAAAAGACAAATGTCTCCACTATAATCTATGCAGAAGTTATTGTATTCCAACTGATGAGAGGTGCTGTACAAGCCACAGGGAGCGATCATTGTTTACATATTTCACTATTCTTTTGTTTGATCAAACATAATTCACTGTGTTTGGAGCACGTCAGACATATAAAAGGATTACTTATGCACATCAGCTCAAAAACAGAGGAGAATGGCCCTGAAGCGCACAGCATAAGGTGAGAGATGACAGCTGTCTGTGCTATCTGGGGCTGCTTATTGATCATAAATGTATTGTTTTCACTTCTGCACCATGGAAACACCGAGATTCATTCAGCAACTGTTTGATATGTGAATATAATTCAGTAAAAAGAACGCTAGAACCGTATGAGCACCGGCAAGAGCTTTCATTTGAGCTATAACTTGTTCATGTGTCATATGAAAAATATGAAAATGAACCAATGCTCAATACCCAGCTCGGGTATTCAAAATACTGTGTATTTAAGTGTAAATAACTTTTGTACAGTAGATTAAAAACCAAAGTGATGCATATGTGCATAAAATATAGATTCTACACGTTCAAACGAAACCACTTACAGGGGTCTGGTGCAATGCAGCCCTTTAAATCTGAAAGCGAAAGTCGATGACGTCACAGACCTGGTACCGGGTCTGCAGAGTTTAACTGGTTAAAGGGTTAAAACATAAATTAATAAGTGGCTGAAAGTGTGTTTTTTTTTTCTCAGATACGCCACCAAAGGCAGTCTGGTGAAGGCGATTGAGGACTTTGAGCTGGCTCTGGAGAACTGCCCCACACACAGAAACGCTAAGAAATACCTGTGCCAGACGCTGGTGGAGCGCGGAGGACAGTACGTCTGTTTATTCCCGCTTTACATCTTTTATACCTCACCAAACACAGCAGAAGATACGATTTACAGTCACTTCATTTACGCTAAATTACACTGAATCATTCTGCTTTCTTTAAATATATAGTCAAAACACTACTATCATTAATAATGCTATAGCCCAGCATGCCATGCTATCGAGTCATAATATTTATATGTCTTTCTTTTTTTTGATACTGTATATTTTTAGATGTGATGCAGATGAGTTTATGAAATCTTGCAGCCTATAATGACTGATTTTACAGCAACTTTTCTCAACCTTTGTGGAATTTCTAGTATGATTTGCTGTAAAAATGCACAAAATAAGCTTATAATATTAATGTTTTGACCCACTGTATATATTTTTAGACCTGATTCTGACAAGTCATAGTTTTTGCATGTCTGTCTTTACATTTAATGAATTTTGGCGTGCAAAAACATCAAATTTTGCAGAGACTTTTCCAAAATTTGTGCATTTTTTAATATGTTTGCTGTAAAACTTCAGACAATTGTCAAATTTTTACTTTTTTAATGCAGATTTTTTTACAATTTTCTGCATTTTCAGTGTAATTTGATGTAAAAATACAGAAAATAATCTCAATATTTTTCTTTCTTTGTATGTACTTCATATTATTAAAGTGATGCTGATTAATCATAGCTATTACAATGATGTTACACAATACCTGAAAAGTGACTAACTTCCCTGCATTCTGTTTTAAATAGATACGGTAAGTAAATGTGTTCTGTCACAAATGTCTCCATTAGGCTTGATAATATATTGTTTTAGCTAGAGCCCTGCATTTGAGTCCCTCCTTTTTTAAACCCCTAGTGCCGGGTTTTAACTTAATGAAATGATTGAGAACATTCAAACTTGCTTATATGTGTTTTGCTATCTCTCTGATGATTTCTGCACAGAGTTGAGGAAGAAGAGAAGCTAGTGACGGCAGAGAGTCTCTATAAAAGAGCCCTGGTTTTAGACGACACGTTTAAAGAGGCGGCAGAGGTTCTGGAGAAACTGCAGATCCGCATCCAGGTGAGCTGGAGAAACCTGTCCGCCAGTCCGCATTCACTCAGACAGTCAGCTTCTGGTATGCCTCAATTTAGGCACAGGCTGTACTGTATCTCTTGGTTAACACAGGGTTCCCACACTTCTTGAATTTCAGACATGTGGATTCAAGGCCTGGAAAGAACTTAAGCGCAAATAGTGCTGGAATTAAATTCATTTTATTATTTCAATAACTGTACTTAATTGTCTAAAACTGATTGGAAAAATGCAGAAATTCCTAAACTGAAAATCTTAAAGGTGCTTTATGTAAGTTTCTGACTTTTCTAAAGTATAAAAACACCATAATATGTTTGCAGATATTTCAGAAGCATGCTCAGTGAACATTCTTGTTTATCAAAAAAACATGGCTGATGTCCAATATTCTGCTTTGAACGTGCTTTCTGTGCCAGAATGGTTGTTTTTGTTTTGGCCATTTAACCCGCCCAATGCCAGTTTAGCCAATTATATTTAAGCATGCCGGGTTGCCTTGCTGGAAAGCTGCACATTTCATTCATCCATCCATCCATCCATCCATTCATTCATCCATTCATTCATCCATCCATCCATCCATTCATTCATCCATCCATCCATCCATCCATCCATCCATCCATTCATTCAACCATTCATCCATCCATTCATTTATCCATTCATTCATCCATTCATTCATCCATTCATTCATCCATTAATTCATCCATTTAATCATTCATTCATTCAAAGTATGTGTCCGTGTCTGAAATGCGACCTCAGGTGGACATTAGCAGACTCCGAAATGAGACACAGATTCAGAGTTCCACATGAGGTGGTTATTAGTTAGCGAAAAATATAACCCATACAAGTGTAAACATCAGGTGAGCAGGTTACACTGTACCCGCTTGTCCTAACAACATGTTACGTCAGGGGTGTCCAAACTCGGTCCTGGAGGGCCGGCGTCCTGGAGAGTTTGGCTTCAACCCTAATCAAACACACCTGAACAAGCTAATCAAGCTCTTACTAGCTATACTAGAAACTTCCAGGCAGGTGTGTTGAAGCAAGTTGGAGCTAAAGTCAGCTGGGCACTGGTCCTCCAGGACTGACTTTGGACACCATGTGCTTTGTGATGAGATTTGCAGTTATAAGCAATTTGGTTGTTTGCACTAGTAGAAATGTAAATACAGCCATTCAGAAGCACAAAATAGTGCACTCACTGCATTCCAGCCGCATGGTAAGGTTTATAATCGAATTAATACATATTAAATGTCTTTAACATTAATAAATGTAGATGCTGAATCACTGATATGTGCTGGTTTGCACTGAGTCACAGTTTTAAAGTTCAATTTCAAACAGTTTATTATATTGTCAAGATCTGAGGTGAACTATCTGCTGCTGCTTTCAGTAGTACGGCAATAAATGTCCTGTAAAATGCCATTAAAACTCACATTATTAGCATTTAACACTGAGTAAAGCACATGAGGTGTACCTGAACTGGTCATTGTCAGTTTTCTGTTGTTCACGTGAGAAACAGAAGCAGATTCTAAAATATAAATTTCAGGTGTTGATTAGGACACAAACTCCTTTTAATATGGAGAATATGTATTAATTGCATGCTTTTTCTTTATAGTTAGAACACGACTTGAATCAGCCTTTAGGCTTGATAGTTAGGCACACTGCTGTTGATATTGTCAATCTGGCAACCTGTGCTTGCACGTGTTTCGAACCAGGCATGCAATACCTAGTTCAACCACTGGGTGTCAAACTTGCATACTGCACCTTTAAGCGCAATAACACTGACAAATAATGCACATTTCAGCAATATTTCAGAAACCACATTTAAATATCACCAGTTTTGGGATCTTTGAACATGCCTTGTTAAAATGGTCAACTTTTGAAAATACTCCAACATTTTTATGTTAATATTAAGTGTAAGTGAAATGTTAAGTAAAGACTTCCATGGCGCGACATATGCTGGGGTGTGGATTACAAAAGTGCTGGGTTTAAAATGAATGAAAGTCCTTCCATGAAAGTGTGGGAACCCAGTTATCAGTTTATAAAAGTTTATATATATATATTTGAAAGTTTTTTTAAGACTTTATGTCCCTCTAAATGTACAAATAATTAAACAAAAATGCTTTTAATTTTAGTATTCCCAATTAATATCCTAAGGGACCAGTTATGTAGTTAAAATGGACTTGAATCAAGTGTGCATGTGTGCTCTGATCTATTCTACCAGTATTCAAGTACAGAAGTTAAACAGTCATACGTAAAATAACACTCTAAACGGTTTAAAAATAAATCTGTTAATCTTTAATAGATAATCTAAGCCACATTGTGATTATCAATGCTCAAATGATATATTGTGCAGCCCTAGTCTGAGAGTTTGACTCAATCTACTTTGTGAAAAGCTTCAGAAATAAAGATGAATTGAATGCTCAGTATTGAAGTACTGATGAGGTATTCTTGTCATCTATGTGTCTACCTGATCTCGGACCTGTGAAACCTGACTGATGGGACTTTTAACACTGGGTTAACATTAACGCCCCATGTGGACTTGAAACCCGCCACCTTTGGTTTGTATTCTGTTCCTGGCTCTACGGTAAATGCATCTTCCGATCATTGATACTTGTAAAATGTTTTGTCATTGCTTACCATCCTGAATGCTTCGCCTGGGGGTGTGAAAAATGGTGTAAATCAATGCATGCTTGACGAATATGCTGCAAATTATTCCCCATTTTACCCTGTCAACGAACTGCTTTAAAGAAATCACTTAAATTGAAAGAGCTGGAAGCTGCGAAAGAGCAGGAAAAAGCTAAGACCGCGGAGACGAGTGCTGAGAAATTGCGTAAGATCCTAAAAGAGGAGAAAAGGTAATGTTTACACCACCCTACACACACACACACACACACACACACATGAATGATGTTTACTACTTTAATGCTCATGTTTGGTCACATACACACACCGCAGGTCAATATATAATTAATTTATTTAGTCAGTTTTCATTGCAAAATGTTCAGCGCATGCGCGTGTTTATGGAGCTAATAATACGCCAGAACAATCTGAATTTGAACTGTGTTAAATTGAACAATTATAAGTTAATAATACTGATTATGTCCTATTAGAAATGTTTTGAATTTGTATTTCTTAACTTGATAATTGAACATCTGTAATTGAAGACAACGGCTGCGTCCGAAACCACATACTTCCATACTAAATAGTACGCTGTATGCGAGCAGAGTAGTATGTCCAAATTCATAGAATTCGGAAATCAGTATGCGAGAAGTACCCGGATGACTTACGACTTCCGGCAAGCTTCTGGAGTGCGCATCCCATGCACGCTGCGCTATCCCATAAAGTTTTGTTTTGTGTTTACCTCATAGTTAAAGTTGCTGCACGTCCGCCGGTTCCTGCCTCAAAATGAGCGAGTTTGAGCCACTTGTACATTCAGGAAGTGTTCAGGAAAAACAAAACACCAGCGAAGAAACTCGACACAGAGGAACATTTACACCTCACTGCCAACTAGTGGTTTGGAAGTGTATTGCAGAGCAAAAGAAACAGCATGCAGAAGTATAAATGCACAGCTACACGCGTTGCATGCACTGTGGGTCATGCCGATGACTTGACGCAGAAGTATAAACCAGGCTTTAGGTGGACATAGGAAACTTACTGAATTTACTCAAACACATAGTAGGAAGGTCTCTGTTGTGCTTGGGGTTGAAAGAGTGAGAAATGAAGATTACACGGATATATAGCTTGCCTGAGACCCGCAAGTATTTATTCAGAGAATAAAAGGTCATCTGTACAGTGCATCGTTGTGTATGGAATATGGTTAGTCTGCGTCAGGGGTGTCCAAACTTTTTGGGCCGAGGGCCAGATGCAAAAAAAAAAAAAAAAAAAAAAAAACGTTGCGGGCCAGATTTTACATACATCACACAGACACGCATATATATATATATATATATATATATATATATATATATATATATATATATATATATATATATATATATATATTTATTTTTTCCCCAATTTCTGTTTAACGGAGAGAACTTATTTTTTTTATTTAAATTTTTTTTCCACACATTTCTAAACATATTAGTTTTAGTAACTCATTTCTAATAACTGATTTATTTTATCTTTGCCATGATGACAGTAAATAATATTTGACTAGATATTTTTCAAGACACTTCTGTACAGCTTAAAGTGACATTTAAAAAGCTTAACTAGGTTAATTAAGTTAACTAGTCAAGTTAAGGTAATTAGGCAAGTTATTTTATAACAATGGTTTGTTCTGAAGACTTAAGGGGCTAATAATATTGACCTTAAAATGGTTCATAAAAAATTAAAAACTGCTTTTATTCTAGCTGAAATAAAACAAATAAGACTTTTTCCAGAAGAAACAATATTATCAGACATACTGTGAAAATATCCTTGCTCTGTTAAACATCTTTTGGGAAATATTGAAAAAAGAAGAAATAAATCAAAGAGGGACTAATAAATCAGACTTCAACTGTGTAGATAGATAGATAGATAGATAGATAGATAGATAGATAGATAGATAGATCATAACAAGAACTGCTGCTTAATTGAATGCATGTGATAGCGACACCCGGTGGTTATTTATTGAATTACGTTCATCTTTTGTATAGCGGGCCAGATTCTATTGATATTTTTAAAAAGCCTCGCGGGCCGCCACAAAACTGATTGTGGGCCGCATATGGCCCGCGGGCCGTAGTTTGGACACCCCTGGTCTACGTTATTGCGGATTATTTTTAGAACGTAACTCTCGTGAATAATGAGGCACCACTGTACTTGTAGAACCATCCAGGAGGATCAATTAAAAAGTCATGTGGTATTGTCTAAAACCGTATAGTGTGTGTGTGATCATACAAATCTGTGAGTATTTCCTCCATCAGAACATGGTAAGAACTCATTTCTGTTTTACTTCATAAAGCATCACTGCTGCTGCTTTCCCCTAAATCTGCTGGTTTCACTCTTTGTTTTGGCTTTTCTCACAGAATGAAGAAAAAGCGAAAGCGTTCGACCTCCTCCTCCACATCCTCAGACTCGTCTTCCTCCTCATCGAGCGACAGCTCTCCGTCAACCAGTCGCAAAAAATCCAAAAAGCGCAAGCACAAGCGCAGACGCTCGTCCCGCAGCAGCAAAAAACACAAGCGGCGAGTTTCCTCCTGCAGCGATAAAACAGCAGAGGACGATAGAGACTGGTTTCCGGCTCCTGCAAACACCTCAGCCTCATACATCAACCAGAATCAGTCGATCAGTAAACTAATGAGCGAATCGGAGCCGGTTTGGGGGGCTGAAAGCAGAGGTAGGTTTGAAGAGGATCTGGAGAGAGGTTCAGATCAAGTCAAACCTGCGGGATTCAGATCTGGAGTCAATGGGGAGCCATTGAAAGTGAACGAAAGAGTTGGAAACCGTAGAGATTCATCCTCCTCGACTCAGTCCGAATATTCACACAAGTCTGAGCGCCACTCTGAGTTTTCAGGCAGAAATCCGAGTCGGTCAGAGCGAGCCGGGAATGATGGAGGGAAAACCAACAGCGCAAACACGAAGAAAGATCTTCCTTTAAACCTGCTGGACATCTTCAGTCAGATCGCAGAGTTTCAGAAGGACAAAAAGCAGAAGAAGTGAAAGCAATAGATGTGTGTTGCGTTCAGTTTGGAGGAGTGAACTAGTTTTCATGACTGGTACTAACAGGGTTAAAGGGATAGTTCACGAAAAACTGAATTTTGCCATTATTTGCTCTTGCTTTAAATTAGTTTGAGTTTTTTGTTGAACACAAAAGAAGATATTTTGAAGAATGTTGGAAACCTGCAACCGTATTTGTTCACTTATGGTGGCTGAGAGAGTGTAATGCTCTGCAATTTAAGAAATAGCATGCGATCACAAAAAAACACCAGCAAATTAAGAAAAGATCTGTGTTAGTCTGACAGCAAATGTGCTGCAAATCCTTACAACACGAGCAAGTTGAGTAAACACACTGCAATTTTCTCACAACACATGTAAATAGCATGACGGAAATGTTTCAAGGGGACCCTAAAACATGACGGACCCGGATGTTTACGTTGTTTATTGAGGATAATAATACTAAGACTAATAATTTGCATATGTTGTGTAAAAATGCAGCAATTTTTTTTATTTGTTTATTTTAACATCCCGATTACACAATTCCCTTAAAATAATGGTTATTTTGGAGGAGTAAAACTAGTTTTCATGACTGGTACCAAACAGGTTAGGGTTAGTTCACACAAAAGCTGGATTTGTCATTATTTACTCACTCTTTACTTGGTTTAAATTAGTTTGAGTTGCTTTTGTTGGTCACCTGTAACCATTGACTTCCATAGAGTTCGTGTTTTAAGGTGGCGGAGAGAACTAAACATGCTACAATTTAAGAAAACATGTGCGATTACAAAAAAATGAAAGAAAAGGTCTTCGTGTGTCACAAATCCTCACAACACAAGCAAGTTCAGGAAATCTGCTGCAAACTTTAATAATGCAAACAAATGAATCAAATGTGCTGCAATTTCTTACAACACATGTAAATAGCAGGGAACACAATGGAAATGTGTCAAGGTGACCTTAAAACATGACGGACCCGGATGTTTATGTTGTTTATTGAGACTAATAATACTAATACTAATAATTTACATGTGTTGTGTAAAAATGCAGCAATTTTGTTTTATTTGTTTGCATTTTCTTTGTTTATTTTAACATCCTGATTACACCATTTCCTCAAAGTAATGGTTATTTTGGGCGAGTAAAACTATTTTCATGACTGGTACCAAACAGGTTAAAGGGTTAGTTCACACAAAAACTAGATTTGTGATTATTTACTCACTCTTTACTTGTTATAAATTAGTTTGAGTTTCTTTGTTGAACACAAAAGAAGATATTTTGAAAAATGTTCGACACCTGTAACCATTGACTTCCATAGTACTTGATTTTTTCGATAACTGAGGGAACTTAACGCGCTGCGATTTCAGAAAATGTATGCGATTACAAAAAAAATAAGCAAATTAAGAAAAGATCTTCATTAGTCTGACAGCAAATGTGCTGTAAATCTTCACAACACAAACAAATTAAGAAAATGCGCTGCAATTTCTCACATCACATGCAAATACAATGGAAATGTTTCAAGGGGACACAAACACGTGGCGGAGCCGGCTGTTTTGGTTATGCTTACTGAGGCTATTAGTATACAAAAGTTATTTTTTGTGTTGAACACAAAAGAAGATATTTTGAAGAATGTTGGACACCTGTAACCCTTGACTTCCATAGTACTTGCTTTTTACGATAGCCGAGGAAACTTAACGTGCTGCGATTTTAAAAAATGTATGCGATTACTAAAAAAAACATCAACAAATTAAGAAAAGATCTTCATTAGTCATTGACTTTCCTAGTATTTGTTAAATACTTTAGTCGAACTTAAGTTTAAGAATAAACATGCGATTACAAAAAAAAAAAAAACATGCTGCAAATCCTCACAACACAAGCATTTAAGTTGAGTGTAAATTTACACAACGCAAACAAATTACGAAAAAGCGCTGCAATTCCTCACAACACATGCAAACAGCACGTGTTTCATGGGGACCCTAAAACATGACGGAGCCAGCTGTTTAGGTTATGCTTATTGAGTCGAATGGTGTCATCAGGATGTTAAAAATAAACAAACTCGCCTTTCAAAGATCAGCTACAACTGCACTGAGCAATATTAGCTCAGTATAGCTATTGATATTAGCCCTCTCGTTCGCACACACATAGCAATAAACAATCCAAACACAGCATCACGCTGTCTCATTCACACACATACGTACGCATGCTCGCTCGCTCGGGAGCGATATTGTTAGAATGGCCACTCCCATCCAAAAATACACCAGTTACTGACCGCTCCCACGCTTCATTCAGAAATTTATTTCTGCGCTGCAAGAAATCTGGTCGGGTCCCGTGGCTACCGCGGTACAGGCGCGGGTATGCAGACCCCTAACAGAAACTCATTCAGCGTTTGAAACCAATTTAAAGAGAGTAAATACATTTTTTGGGGGGGGGTGAACTATCCCTTTAATCAGTATTGTGATTTACATATGCTAGATGATTATAAGTTGATCAGAAGCGTTGAATTCGTTAATTTGAGGATGGATTAGATTGATGTCGGGAGAAATCTGAAGCAAAAGCTGAGCGGTTGCCAAATGTGCTGCGAATGACGCCTCAGTGTTTTGAACTGCATTCAGTGTTCAAATAAACCAATGTGCTGATGAAGGAAACGCTGCTGTGCCGTTTTGATTTTTGTCTAAGATAAACACAAGTAAGTAAATTCAGATTTCCACTGATGTCATGTACACATGCTGGGGGTGTAAAATACGGTGCTTGATTTATTTTGAATGTGTTAGTGAGGGAGCACTCAATCTAATGTGAGTCCTAATGCCCGAGTATAGTGCAGGGGATGCTGTACTGTTAGTAAGCGCCATCTTGAGGTCCTGACTCTCTGTGGTCTTTTGGCAGTTCTGGTAAGGAGTAGGGGTGTAACCCCAGTGTCCTGGCCAAATTCTTTCCATTATCGCCTCCCAATCATCCCCATTCACAGAATTGCCTCTACCATCGGCCTAACCCCAATTCTACCCCTTTGCCCTTCCCAATTCTCTTTAGCTTGAACGCATAGGGCTAAGGGGAAGGGCTGGATAACCCTTCAAACTATTTTTCAGGACCAAACCTGAAACCAAGGAGTAAAAAAAATGTCCCAGAGTACACCAGCTTCAACTGCACAATGGCTGCCCACGGAAGGAGACCCACAAATTAGTATTTTTTTTGTCATTATTACAAATTTTCACAACAAACAAGCACATGTTTTAATATATTCATAACCACATTCGTGTTTTAACGTCGTGTATGGTAATATAATATATGCCTTCAGTGATTTCCTGAAGATAAACATCAGAAAATAACACAATAACTACAGCAGTCGCCATCGTCTGACCTCATATGAAGCAAGAGATCATGATGACGTGTGCAGGTGCTGTCTCATTGCTTAGGGGTACATTTTGAAGCCCTCCCCTTCACACTCTGTTTCAAGGGCCAGGGGGAAGGGGTACAAAAATAGAACTGGGACTGGGCCACTGTCGCTCCACTCCACCTATAGCAGGCACTGGCGCCTTTGTCCTGTGGCTGTCCTCGCATCATTCAAGTGGATGCTGCACACTGGTGGTGGTGTAAAGAGAACACCCAGCCCCTACCCACCCACCCCAAATAAAAATTTGAATTATGACTAATTTATTTAAAATTAGGACAAAAGCGTGAGTCGAAATTTCAAGATAAAAGTCCAAATTATGATTTACTATGTTAAAATTAGGAGAACACTTAAAAGTATTAGCAAGTCGAAATTAGCAGATAAACATTGAAATTATGACTGTCAAAATTATTAATTGTCAAGTAGAAATTAGCAGATAAAAATCAAAATTATATGCAAGTCTAAATCAAAAGATAAAGTCCAGATTATGACTTAAAAATTAGGAGTTAATTTAAATTATGTCGTGGAAAGTCAAAATTATGACGCATAAAGGCAAAATTATGACTTAGCAAGATGAAATTAGAACATATAAGTCAAAATTAGAAAGTCGAAATAATGACTAAGTCAAAAGTCAATATTAAGTAAAAATTAGGAAATAAAAGTCAAAATTATTCATTAAAAGTAAAAAAAAATTAGGAGATAAAAGTCACAAATATTAATTTAAGTCTAAATTAGTAGATAAAAGTTAAAAATATTAATTAAAAAGCCAAAATTAGCAGATAAAAGTAATAATTATTATTAATTATCAAGTTGAAATTGAAGATAAAAGACCAAATAATGACTTAAGAATTTAAAATTAGGAGACTAAAGCCAAAAATATTAACTATTAAGTCAAAATTAGCAGATAAAAGTCAAAATTATTCATTAAAAGTTGAAATTAGTAGATAAAAGTCAAAAATATTGATTAAAAAGTCAAAATTAGCAGATAAAAGTAATAATAATTTATTATCAAGACTAAATTAGGAGATAAAAGTCAAAAATATGACTAATAAAGACACAATTAGGAGATAAAAGATGAAATGATGTCTTAGTGTGATGATTAAAGTCATGAGATAAATAAGACATGACATGTTTTAAATGACACCCCTGCTGAAAAATCCAGCTTAAACCAGCCTAGGTTTTGGCCATTTCCAGGCTGGTTTCCAGTCATTTCCAGCCTGGTTTAAGCTGGACATTGCTGGTTTTGGCTAGGCTGGTCAAGCTGGTTTTAGCTGGTCATCTCTCAGCCTGACCAGCTAAGACCAGGCTGGAAATGGCTGGAAACCAGCCTGGACGTTGCCAAAACCCCTCTAAAACCAGGCTCGTCCATCCTAGGCTGGTTTAAGCTGGATTTTTCAGCTGATTTTACAGTTTCTTAAAGGGATAGTTCACATATAAATGGAAATTCGCTTTCTGTTTACTCTCCTTCAAGTGGTTCTAAGCCTTTGAGTTTCTTTATAATGTTAAACACAAATAAATGTATATTTTTAAAGAAAGCTGAAAACCTGTAAACACTGACTTAAAACTACCATTAAAAAATACTATGGAAGTCCGTGGTTTCCGGTTTCCCGAACATTCTTCAAAATATCTTTTTTTTTTACATTAGTTTAACAGAAGAAACAAACTGATAAATGTTTGACAGAATTTTCATTTGTGGGTGAACTGCCCCTTTAATATTCATATTATTCATTAGATCATTGCGGTTGGCTGTAATGTCAAGCATGAATATAAAATGTTTTTCCCTCAGATGCGGTGTGCAGTCCATCAGAGGGC